AAGGAGAAGGAGAAGGAGAAGGAGAAGGAGAAGGAGAAGGAGAAGGAGAAGGAGAAGGAGAAGGAGAAGGAGAAGGAGAAGGAGAAGGAGAAGGAGAAGAGTCCGAGGAGGCTGGACTTGAATTTTGGTCGCTGCTGCTGAGGGCTCGCACTGAGGGGAGAGAACACAAACTTCAGCTCCTGCCCTGTTGAAATTCCTCTCCTATGGGCTGGGAGCCCGATGCGGAGAAAGGGACTAATAACCTCCGAAGTTGGGGACCCTGGATGCATCTTGGCTCCAGGAAGCAGGCTATCAGGGGCAGAAAACAAACAGGAGCCTCTGTTCTCCGGAGGGAGGGGGGAGACACAGGAAGGAACAGTCAGACCTGTTTCTCTGCCTTGGGGCCACAGGTCCTTACTCACCTGAGCTGTGTCACTTGCAGGTGAGGTGCCGTGGGAAGGTCTCTCTGAGACCCTGAACATGGCAAAGCTCTCCATGCTTCCCTGGGATGCTCGGGCCAACAGCTCTTTGTCCGCCCTGCAGCAGCCTGGTTCTGAGCAAAGAACCAGCGTGAAGAGCTTATTGGTCCCTTTGCATGTACCTGGCATCGTGCGAATGCCCGAGACTGAAAGAGGAAAAAGGATGCTGAATTAGCAATGCAGCCCCACTCCCTTTTACGCTGGGTTCTTCTCCAAGCCCACAGGATGAATTCCTATGAGCTGATAAGCCTGAGCCCCAGGCTTCCTTGGAACCACTCAGGAAATCTCTTGTGGTGTGCAAGCGCCTGGCCTGGCAGCTGGCTGGGGGCAGGAGACACAGTGAGCGTGGGATGAGCTAGCCAGATCCCAGCTCAGGCCAACCCAGCATGCAGGGACAGAAGGGTGTCAAGGTGTCCACCTGAAGCCATGGCCTTGTGGTGCTAGAAGAGAGGTGAAAACATCACATCAGCAGGGCCAGATCAGTGAGAGGATGTGCTGTGGCAGGAGGTCCGGCACTAGAGCCTAAGGGAGAGAAGGGTAGGTTTCAGAGGTCCTCTGGTCCCTGACAAAGTGTCTGTCGCCTTCCTGGGACACAGTGGGGGCTGACCTGGAGGCTGGTAGCCTGTGAGACCCTGGACTCTGCAGTCTCCCTGAGTGTCTCTGGCAGGTGCCTGAACCATGGCAAGAGCTCAATACACAGGTTCTGTTGCCATGACAATGGTGGAAATGGGTGGCCAGGATTTTCAGGGCCGACACCCACGCTGATTAGCTCCAGACTCATTAGCTTCTCTGCATCAGCGGGGCCACAGCTGCCTGTTCTTCTCCTTCACTCCTCTTGCAGGGAAGGTCTGAGCAAGGCACATTTGGAGCCTTGGGCCTCCTGGGAAGGGAAGAAAGAAGGCTGGGGTAGATGGAACCCAGAAGACAGACGTGAGCCGGACAGGCTTTCGCTGCACTGAGGGGCTCTGGTTGGAAAGGCAGGGCAGCTTCTCGTTCAGCACCCAGAGACTAGGCCCTCTGAAGACAAGACCTGCCTTACCAGACATGTCCCAGAGTCCCATGAGGAGCCCCAGACCACACAGAGGGGGAGGGGGTGGGCAGACCCTAGATCTCATCCTGCTCTGCTTTCTTTTGTTTTGTTTTGTTTGAGACAGGATCTCCTTCTGCAGTTCAGGTTGGCCTTAAACTCCAGGTGATCCTCCTGC